AAGGTTATGAAGGTATTTCTTTATGTCCACTGATGCTGTATCTAATATTGCATGATTACTGCACTGTTTCTCTTCTGTATTCATCTCTCCTGGGCTTATTTTTCCAGAGTCAGTGGCTGAAGGGTTTTTTTTTCTATCTCTTGTCATGTTTCTGGTTTCTTTCAGACAGGTGTGTCCTGGGGGTCTCTGGCCCTCTCTGTATTGCTTAGGGTCTTTCTGAAGCATGCTGACTGGGGTTTTGCTGCCCTCCCCAATTTGCTGTTATCTGAGGTATCTTAAACTCCCTCCCAGGGGCTCGGGATGGTGCAGGGACACTTACCCCAAGCTGCCCAGTCCAGAGTTCAGGGTGCAGGCCCAATTCCCTGAAGCAGGTTGATCATGGCAGGAAACCAGAAAGTTCTAGTTCTGTATGTTTGATTATGGTCTGAAGAGGTGTTTTCAGAAGCAGATTCTCTGTGATCTGTTTGTGGCAGTGGCTCTGTGGGGCTCTGGTCACATGGGCTTGGCAGCAGCGAAGACATACTCACCTGCCCGGAGACCTTGGGGGTGCTCCGGCAGCAGGGGTCCACTCAGCACTGGTGTCGTGGGCTTGTGTCCTCATATGAGTGGTGAATGCCAAGGCGGCGATGCGGCAGAGTTGGAGGCAGCAGCTGGAGCATGGTGGCATGGGGATGGTCTGTCTTGCCAGTGGCCCAGAGGTGCTCAGGGCTGCACAGTGGTGCGTCCAGCTGGGAGTGAATGTTTGATTGGTTTTTCTCACCTTAGTTTCTTCTTGGGATGAGAGAATTCCTCTCCCTCTGTTCGGGACTCCCCATGTTGTATTATGTTGAGTTCAAGCTGACTATCTCAGGGAGCCTCTGTAGCTGGCTGTTATCTATCCACCATCTTTGCTCAACCTCCCAGTTTTATTCTCTTTAAAATAAAAATTACAGGCCATCAGAAGGCCCTTTCCTCTGCATGCCCAGTGTGAGCAGAGTAAACCAGACAGATCCACCTTTGCCTGCTGTATGCAGCCACCAAAAGGCCATGTCTTGCAGGTGGCCAGCGTGGGCAGAGAGAACCAGCAGATCTACCTTCACCTTCAGGGAGCTGCCACCCGAAGGCTCCTTCCTGCAGGCAGCCAGCAGGAGCAGGGATGCCCTGTGCATCCTTAGACTACCACTGAAGGTCCTTGGTTCCCTCAGGCAGCCATCACCCACTGTAAAGTCAGACACACATACCCCTGTGTGTCTGCCACCATTGTGGGAATCCCAGTGTAGACACACATCCTGAGAGATGCAGCCCCATCTCCATGCACCCCTGATCATCAGCAAAACCCCGGTGTAGCTGCACAGGTCTAGAGAAGCCTGCTCCACACCCTGCTACCTCCCTATAAATCTGGGGTTAGGGGAACCCAGGTGCCTGTCTCATCCCCCTACACTGCCTAGAGGTAGCCAACATGGGAAATATCTGGGACCCCACAACCAGTTCATTGGGAGGAGCCCAGGAGAATGTCAAGATGAAGGAGCAAAAGGCAAACTCAGACCTCTAGCCCACAGAAGTAGTCTGGGAGATACAGTCATGGAAGAAAATGGAAGTCACACACCTGACATCTCTGAGAGGATAGCAACTGAAATAAGGAAACAACTTCATGAGATTGCAAAAGCAGTCAAATCAGAAAAAATGTCTCAAGTAAAAGAAGAAATCACAAACACACTGAAAGAATTGTTTAGCAGGTTTAAAGAAGACATAGACAAAAAAGGGGAGCATAGGACAATGGTGGAAACCTTGAATGAATGCAGAAAGGAATTACAATGCATGAAACAGATTCAAAGAGAGATCCATGAAATTAAAAATTCAATCAAAAGCTGGCAAAGAGACTGAAGACAGACTTTCAAACCTTGAAGACACGGATTGCAGCTAGTGATTGTGAAAGGAAAGATCTCTTAAAAACAACATGGAATCAGGAAGTGAATGGCTGCAAGATTATGCAAAGAAGCAAAATTCACAAATAATAGGTGTTGGTGAAGAAGTAGGGGTCAACACAAATGAGATTGAAAGGATATTCACAGAAGTAATAGAAGAAAACTTCCCAAACATAGGAAATGGATCTGGTATGCAGATAAATGAGGCATATAGGACTCCAACTAGCTATAACCAAAGTAAATCTACACCCAGACACATAATAATCAATGTACCAGAAATTCAGCACAAGAACAGAATATTAAAAGCTATTAGAGAAAAGAGACACATGACCTATAAAGGAAAAGCAGTCAGAATCATGGCAGATTTGTTAACACAGACAATCAAGTCAAGAACAGTTTGGAGTGAAGTGTTTCAAACCCTGAAAGGAAACAATTTCCAACCTATATTGATCTACCCAAAAAACTATCTTTCAAAACTGATGGAAAAATAAGATACTTCCATGATAAAGAACAACTGAAGGAATTCATGACTCCCAAACCGACCCTACAGAGAGTGCTAAAGGATATTCTAGAGAGAGATAAAGATGACCATGATTCCAGGAACTGCAGCAGAGGACGATCACCAAACAAGACAGGCAATTGAATGAAGGAGAAAATTGGAGGGCAGGAGGATGGCAGGGCAGAGGAAAACCAATGTATGCTGGTTGTAACCATTAATGTAGATGGCCTCAGGTCAGCAATAAAAAGAAACACAGGGAGAGTGGATCAAGAAGCAAGGTCTATCGATATACTGTATACAAGAAACACATCTAACTGGAAAGGAAATTTATAGACTGAAAATCAAAGCAGAGAAAACAATTGTTCCATGTGACAGGAGACTCCCCTCAAAAAGCAAGAGTAACTTGCCCATCAACTGCAGAATGGATAAGAAAGACACAGTATTTTCATGCAGTGGAAAGCTACCCAGCTATAAAGTAGAATAATCTGAAGGCTCCTATAGGTAAATGGACGCAACTGGAGATGATGTTCATGGCTGAAACAGTTTGAACTCATATGTGTGAACCCCAGCATAAGAAACAGAAGGAGTTAATGAGATCCAAAAGTAAAATAGTTAATGTAAGAGCAAAGGGGAGGAAACACCTGGGAGGGAAGGGTGGAAACTATTGTCATTTCTTATTGTCTTTTCTTGAATTCTTGCATTGTTTACACAATTTTGTGAGGTTTGGCTTATTTCTGTCTATTTTGTTAGATTTTATGCTGTTGGATGGTAGGGACAGTTATTTTGAATGCAATGGGATGTACTATCGTAATCATGGTTTCCTATTATATTGCTTTGAAGCCTTATAATACTTCCATTCATTGGTTTGATTGGTTTTATTCTGTTTTGTTTGATTTTATTATGTGTGATGGTATGAGCAGCTATTTTAAAGAAAATAAGACATTATGATAGCCATTGCTGATTTACTATCATCTTGTTTTGAAGTCCTACTACGCTTTTGTTCTTCTGTTTTGATTGGTTCTATCCTATTGTGTTTTACTAGATTTTATTATGTGTGATGGCTTAGACAAAATTTTTGAGGAAAATGAGATATTATAGTAGCCATTGTTTATTTCCTAATACTTGGTTTTGAAGTCCTGTGATGCTTTCTTCTTTTGAATGGTTTTATACTATTTTGTTATACTTGATATTATTGTGTGTGAAAGTATGCTCAGCTATTTCAAAGATAAGAGACGTTATCGTAGCTACTGTTGATGTCCTGTTGTCTGACTGTGAAGTGCTTGCATTGTTCTGTTCTTTTTGTTTTACTCTCTTTAAAATTAAAAAACTAAACTAAAATAAAAATTACAACAAAAATGGGGAGATGCCTTCTCCAAAAAAGAAAAGGAAGGAAGGAGAGAAAAAGAGAATAAAGACAAAAAGAGAAAGTGAAAAGACAACCTGCATATTGGGAGAGAGTAAATGCAAATCACACATTTAGTAAGGTTCCTTATCTAGAAATTATCACACTCTCAACAATAGACAACCCAAGATTATTTTAAAATGAGCAAAAATTCTGAATAGATATTTCTACAAAGAAGATATGCAAATACCTAGTAAGTACCTGAAAAGATGCTCAGTATCTTTAGTCACTAGGGTAATGCAAGTTAAAGTCACTAAGAGCTACTATTTCAGATTCACTAGACTTATATTCAGTATAGTAAAAAAAAAATACAAGCAGTAAGTATTGATGAAGAATATGATAAAATTGTAACCTTCACGCTGCTGTTGGGAATGAAAATGGTCCTGATATCTTGGAAAATAGCCTGGAAATATCTTAAAAGTAAATACAGCTCAGCAACAAAAGTGCTTACCTGGCGAATGCAAGGTCCTGAGTTCAGTTGCCAGTACCAAGAAAAGAACTTCAAAGCTTAATCAGACAAACAGTTATTATATGACCTAACAATTCTACTCCTAATGCGTGTGCCTAACAGAGATAAAACATGTTCACATGAAAGCTTGCACAGGAAAGTTCATAGAAGGATTATTCATAGGAAAAAAGGGAAACCACCAAGAAGTCATCAAGTAATAAATGAACAAAATGTGGTGCATACACAGAGTGAAATTCTATGCAGCCATAAGAAGGAAATGAAGTAGAAATTAATGCTAAAACGTTATAAACCCTGAAAACACTTTGTAAGTGAAAGAAGTCGGACAAGAGGGGATATGCACTGTAACTGCATTAATCTGAAAGGGCCAGAAAAGGCAAATCTACATGGAAAGAAAGATTAGTCGTTGTCAGAGGCTCGGAGAAAGTGGGCTGGGGAGTAACCACTAATGTGTCCAAGAGATTTCTTTTGTGGATCACAAAAATATTTTCAAATTAGATACTGGTGATAGTTGTTACAATCACTGGATGATATGTGCCTAAAAAAGGTGCATCTTACAGCCTGTGACATCTCTATATAAAATATTTTAATGTAAAAATGTAGAGTCAGGTATTACCTATAATTTTACCAGATTTAAACTCTGTAATCAACCAGCAGCGTGGAGTTCCTATCCAATGTACAAACACACGACGAAAGACTGGTTTGGAAACAAACCTGGAAATGTCCTACCTTAGGAGGTTTTCTAGTTCCGTAACGCGTTTAGCTAGATTCCAGTTGCCTCGTTCAAGGCTCTGAATATTGGAGTTTTTCAGAGACTTAATTCTGGCCAGGGCGGTGATGAGCTCCTGCAGGCTCTTGACGTCGTCTCTCAGGGACATTATCTGGAAGGACTGCTGCTCCTTGTACCGTGCTAGGTCAGTCTTCGTCTCTTGCAGCGAAGTCTCTTCTCTGAACAGTTTTCTTTGGAGAGTTCTTAGCTAATGATAAAGGGAAATATTTAAATTATACAATAAAATGAAGCTTTTTTTTTCGTGGTGTTAGGGATAAAATCCAGGGTTTCACACACTAAGCAAGCACTTTATGTCTGAGCTATGCCCTTTTCAAACGCACACCTAGCAGTATATCCTAGTGCTAAGAGCATTTTACACATAAAATAAAATGGGTACATAGGGTTTGGAGTAAGTGATTTTGTTCTTATTGATATTAAAATTATTTCTTTTGTTACTAAAATAAACTACACCAATAATGAATTTTGTAGTTTCTGGCAAAGAGAAATAAGTATTTGGTGCTTTAGCCAGAGCTAGTTTTCTGGTGGGTGGTAAAGAGGAGCATGTTCCAGGGCCTTCTTCAAGAGAGAACCCTGTTTATAACACTTTGTCCCTGTTTTGTTTTTTGTTTTTCTTTTTGAGACAGGGCCTTGCTACGTAGTGCAGTGTGCAGCCCAGGTTGGCCTTGAACTCTCAGCGATCCTCCTGCCTCAACCTCCCATATGCTGAAATTACAGCCGTGCGCCACCATGCCCAGCCTCCTTAGTTCCTAATACGTGTGCCCAAATTAACCATAATGGTTCCAACTTCGCTTTTGTGTCACTTCTTGGTGTGCATAACCAAAACAGACAGCATATCAGGACAAGAACAAGAGAGGAGTTCATTGAACTCATATTTGGCCAATTTTATGTGGCATAACCAGTTTGGAAATACTGTTTTCAGTTTCCTTTCACTGAGGATAAAGAACAATTTCCTGTTAACTAACATGCTGCCTTATCCTTTGGCTTTAGTGTGTTTAGTACAAACATCCAGGGACAATTCTTTAATGGAATACGTATGAGAGACAAATTGTTCAATTGTTCCGGAAGAATTACCATGAAGCTAATGTCTTAAATTTAGAGACTCTTTGTCTTTTGCCTCCTACCAAAAGCCACCCAGGAGGGTCCCTAGCAATGTGTTTCAGAGTCATATGCTTTTATAAAATTTTCAACTTACTAAGGCTGCGGGTATAGCTCAGGATAAGAGTAGATGTTTTGCATGTGCAAGGGCTTGAGTTAGATTCCCAGCATCACCACTGCCCCAAAAATTCTTTTTCAAGTCATAAAACTTAAATTCTCTGAACATTTATATCTGCTCTTCCCTCCAGAAAGTGTCCCACTATATTACTGAGGCTGGCTTCAAACTCCCAATCTTCCTGCCTCAGCCTCCTGCACCGCTGGGATTATAGGTGTGTGCCACCAAACCTAGGTAAGAAGCATATCTGGGCTAAATATCCTGCAGATTGTTTGACCTTGGCCGAGTGGAACATCATGATTGTGGGGAGATGGAGCATGTGGGCCAAACGAGCCTGAGCTATTTCACTCACCATAACACCCATTTCCTTTCAACCTCTGTACATACCCCAGCACCTCATGACTGTTAAGATAAAACCCTCACAATGAGTTACTAAGCTGAACAGACCTCTAGCTTCTGCCATCTCTCAAGCTAAGAATCAAGTGTGACAACATCTAAAACCTTAGAAAAGACTTTCCTGCTTTGCACCCTATCTAATCATAGCGTTCCCTGTATTCAGTAAATGGACTTAGGACCACCTTTGTTCTGTGGCTATAAAATTGATGTAACTTCTTCCCAGCAGAACATGGACAAATTGAGTCCATGTTTCTGGACCCTGGTCACTTATATTTGGCTCAGGACAAATTATTATTTTATTTCCTTAAAGTGGATATTTTACATTGAAAAAATTAAGATTTTAACAGCGATACACTATCTACAAGATTACATGGTCGTGTTGCACTCCGATCCCTACATTTTCCTCATATGAGGTAGCATTGGGATCACAGGTATTTTGGTACTCAGGCCTGAGGGACTGTGCCAGGCTTAGTGGGGTGACTTCTGTGCATAGTGAACATACTGTAACTGCCTCGTCTCACAGCTTCTGCCGCATCCCCAGTGCTGACCCAGGACTAGGCTATCAAGCTGCAGGCCCAGAGGTGATACCGAGAAATGAACCTATTCTGTGCCTCTCAGCTTGGGAAATATATGAGCAGAAGAAAATAATGTAGTTTTGACATACACAGAGCCAGAAGACATGCAAATTAATTTTGACCTATTTGTCAAATTCTTAAATTGTGATTTGGTGTGACCCCTTATTCTAAATAAACATTTACCTAGAATGAGAATTCAAACCTAATTTTATTTTATAATATCGGTTTCCCCAGCCAGATGTGGTGGCACATGCCTATAATCCCAGATTGGGAGACTGAGCCAGGAGAGATGTGAGTTTGAGGCCAATTCGGGCAGCATAGTGAGACACCGTAGCACAAAACACCCCACCTCCTGCCAAGCCAGCCTGCTGTCCAGGTAATGGTTCCCGTTACAGGTGCCTGTTACCTCTGCCTCATAGAAATGGCTGTCACTAAGATGCCTTTGTAAGAACAAATCAAAGACAGCCAAGTACTCTGCTTCTGCGTTTCCCCTTTTAGTTCCATAGAAACTTCCCTCCCTGAGGCTTCGGGGCCTGATATTCTGGGAACGATCCCAATCAGCGCTCACTGACATAAATAAATCTGCCTCCAAATCCTGCATGTTATTTTGGTGTTTCTGTTTGTCATTGCAGCACTATCTCAAACAAAGCAAAAAATCCAAAACCTGTTTTCCCCAAGTGTATACAAGTTTTTGCCCTGGATTGTCTTTAGGTTCTCCCTATACTTTTTCCTATACTTTTTCAAAGCAGTGCCCTTGAATGCTACAGCATGGACTGCCATGCACACAGGCAAGGCTGTGTAAGCCATCCAGTCCCCCCCTCCCTCCTCCCTTCCTTCCTTCCCTCCTTCCTTCCTTCCTTCCTTCTTTCCTTCCTTCCTTCCTTCCTTCCGTCCCTCATCTGATCTAACTTGGTGGGCCCCGTTTCAGTCTCCACACAGATCATCTGCCAATGCAATCCAACACAAAATGCAAGGTTCCCCCACTGTCAGGTGATCATCCCTTCAAACCCAAGGCCTCACACATGCCAGGCACGTCTCTGCCGCTGAACCTCACACCATCCTGCTCCCACTGATTCTTCCTCCCTTCCTTCCTGCCACCCTGAGGCAACCACTTGCCACCATTTTCATTGCTCTGTGTTATGAAAACTGAAAGACTGCCTCAGAAGAAGCACCCATGATTACCAAAAACATCAACAAGGTCAACTCACCCCTTTTTATGATAGTTCCGTTTTGTGGAGACCAGATGGCAATAAACAAACTAAACCAACCGGTTGTGGTAGTGTACGCCTGTAACTCTAGCTACTCAGGAGACTGAGGCAAGAAGCTCGCAAATTCAAGGTAATTCTGGGCAATTTAGTAAGACCCTGTCTCAAACGAGGCTGCATAGCTCAGCATCCCATGTACTTAGGTCCCAGTACTGCCAAACAAACAGACAGATAGACAGACAGACAGACAAGCTAAGAAAAGTCAATGTGATGATTTATTTCCAGTAGTTGACATTTAGAAAGGTCTACATTAAAAGGTTTTGAGAAAAGTTAATTTGCATGCACATCATATCTAAAAACCCCTCTCAATAAAAATGTTTCTAGGTCAGGCATGGTAGCTCATGCCTATAATCTCAGCACTTGGAGGTGGAAGCAGGATTTGTGGGACTTCAAGCCAGCCTGGGCTACAGAGGCAGATCCGGTCTCAAACAAAGAAAAAAAAATCATTCTAAGCAAATATCTGTAGGAAGCATTTTGCAGGTGTTAATAGTGCTGATCTGAATGTCACAAATCCTAAATTGTGGGAATTTTTGCATTTAAGTTACCACAAAAAATAGACGTAAATGTAGTTTTGTTTGTTTGTTTTACGTGAGTTCTTACTCTGTAACCCAGTTGGCACTAAATTTGTGATTCTCCCAAGGAGCTGGGAACATAGGCCTGCACCTACCCACCCAGTTTGAATGCTTTTGCTTTGATTGGGGATCACACCCAGGTCTGTTCTACTACTGAGTACCACCCAGCCCTATTTATTTATTTGGCTGTTGTTTAGTTGGTATTGGGAATTAAGCCCAGGGTTTTTTCACTGAGCTACATATCTAGCGCTTTTTTATTTGTTATTTTGAGACGAGGTCTCACTAAATAGCTAGATTGCCCAGACTGGGCTTGAACTTTTGCTCCTCCTGCCTCAGATTCCCACAGTGCTGAGAGACCTGATTCAAAATAAAGTAAAAGTGGCTCGGGACGTAGCTCTGTGGCAGAGCACTTGTCTAGCATGAATGAGACCCTGGGTTTGATCCTCAATACTGCAAAAAAAATCTTTTTTTCCAAACAAACTTTTCTTAGACTAACTTATTCTCTTAAGTAAATTTTTGTTTTTGTTTTTGTTTTAGATTTTGTTTTTTTGAGACAGGGCCTGGCTATGTCATTCAGGCTGGCCTTGAACTCACTATGTAGCCCAGACTGGCCTCAAACTCAAAGCAATCCTCCTGCTTCATCCTCCTGAAATGCTGGGATTTCAGTGTATTCCACAATGCCGGGCAAATTTCTGGTTATATACGTAGCTCTTAAAATAGGACCTTAGAGACTGGAGTACAATATGCATACTTAGCAAGGAGGAAAATTACAAAATAAGTGACAATAAATAGGATGCAGCAAGGGAATGCATGGATAGAAGGAAGGGAAAGAAGACGCCTTCCCATCTCCACAGTCTATCTTCCTGTTTCCTACCATCGCTCTTTCATTAACAACAACTAATGCTTAAAAAATCTAAAGTTTGGTAACACGCACATAAACCCAGCACTTGGAAGGCTGAGGCCATGAGTTCGAGGCCAGCCTGGACTACACAGAGAGCCCTTACCTCAAACAAACAAACGAACATCTAAACTTTCAGATCCCATTATATTTTCACTAGAAATTGCTATGGAGCAATCATTTTTTTTTTATTTAAAGAAAAGGAAACGAAAAAAAATACATGGAGATTAAAAAAAAAGGGTAGAAATAATACTAAATTACAGACAAACAA